AAAGTCAATCTGAAGGTAATCGATAAGAATCTGGTACTGGGGAATTATCTCCAGTTATTGATTCACATACTTAACAAATTGGAGTGGAGATGGGAGTTCAAAACATCGAATCGCGACAGGAAGGCGAAATGGTTGAATCGCAAAGAAGGTTTCAAGAACAACGAAATCGCGATGGTCAACAACAACAGGGTAATCGACCTGTACAAACAAAACAATGTATGCCCAATTTGAACAAGGAAAAAGAGGTGAATCAGCAATTTCAACGTCCTACAAACATAGCAGCAAGAACTCAAGGTTCGAAAGAAGCTGTTCATCCTTCAAAAATAGGCAAGCTGGTGAGCCTTCGTATGAATTGCCCATTAGATCTGAAAATGGTCAAGGTAACATTACTTTAACCAATTTTAATTCCAACAATGATGGTATGTTGAAGGATAGTGATAGAACTAATATTGAGTCTGTTAGGAATCAAGATTATCAAAACAATTTTCCTAAGATTTCTAGCAATTTCGATCGCCCTGTTCATAGAAATATGCCTGATAAGAATGATCCTCCTTCAGGAAATGCTAACAATTTTCCTAAGAAGGATCACATCCCTGAGCCAGCTCCTTATACTGTGATACAAACGTATGTAGATTGATTAAGGTTTAATCAGGCCAAAAGGGGAGTGAGTATCAAGTTGACTGATCCTGAAATTACTACTAAGTACGGTCTTCCTGCAGTCTTATATGTTAAGGAATGAAGTGGTTAAGGATTTAGTTTCAACTTGTAAATTTACTCTTATTGGAAAATTCATTTATACTATGCCTTGAGTGGATTTGATTAGGAAAAACTTTATTCTTCAAACTCAATTATCTGGGGGTGTTAAGATTGCTCATTTTAATTCTAGGCATGTTTACGTAGACATTGATAATGAGTTAGATTACAACATGGTTTGGACTAAGCAAAGGATGACTATAGCAGGTCAGGTTATGAGAACTCAGGCTTGGACCCCTACCTTTAAACCTGATGAAGAAACACCCTTAGTTCCTATCTGGATTTCCCTCCCTGAGTTGCCTTGGCACTGCTATAATAAAGAATTTATTGCTAGCTTATTATCTCCTATTGGTAGAGTTTTATATCTTGATTCTGCTTCTATTAACAAAATTAGAGGGAGTCAGGCTAGAGTTAAGGTTCAGGTTGATCTTACTAAAGACAGACCCCCTCACATTTGGATGGGCTATATTGGTGAAGATATAACTGATGGGAGATGGCGAAAAATTGAATATGATAGTATACCTGATTACTATTTTTATTGCAACCATCAAGGTCATAAAGAGGCTGACTGTATTATTAAACAAAGAGATGAGGAAAATAAAAAAAGAAAAGATCTGGAAAAAACCAAGCCTAGGAAAGACAATGCTCAAAATATTCATGCAGAATTGCAGACTGCTAAGAATATGGAAACAGGTAGAAGGGAGGTGGATTACAATCAACAAAGGCAGCCACCACTTGAAACTCAACAGCAGGTGTTACAAGAGGAGTGGCACACACAAAGAAGAAGAAATAATAATCAACAAGTTAGATTCAATACAGACAAGTGTGACATCCCACCATCCATCCAAGCAGAACGCCACCCAACAAGGCAGCCAGCAGCAGGCGCAAGGTGTCAGACAGCCCAAACCGGCCAGCAGGCGAAGGGGCAGGTGCTCAAGCAGACAGCAGAGGAAGGGGCAGGCGTTTCAGCCATTACAAGCAGTTTCAGCAGTTACAGCCGTTTCATCAGTTATGGCCGTTTGAGCAGTTACATCATGTGGGGAGGCGGCAGGTTCCAGCCTTGGAGAGGCTTGTGCAGGGCCTCTGGAATGTGGGTCAGACTAGGAGCAGCTAGGAGTTCCTTTTTGGAAGACTTAGAAGCATGTCTTGTGGGCATGGACTTAGGAGCTTGTATAGTGTAGCATTTATTTACTCATAGTGTTTAGAGTAGTATAAATAGGTAGTCATTGTATTTGTAATACATCCACCAACATATCAATACAAGTCTTTCTTCCAAAAACAATCTTTTGTCTTTCCTTCAATTTCTCTTAGCAATCGAAAGTAGTGAAAGGCTTACTTGAGTCTACGAGATCGTGCAAGAATCATGAGTAGACCGTCAAGTGCCGCACGGAGTCTTGTCCAAATCGAAAATGTCGTGACAAGTGGTATCAGAGCAGGTTCATCGTAAGAGAATGACGAACGAAGGAGACGGCGCTAGCAGCACCCCCAACGTCCGAACTGATGGTGGCAAGAAGAACAAGAAAGGGAAGAAGCAGCAGACGGGTAATGAACCCAATCTGCCCGATCTTCCACCAAGTGTTCCTACCCCAAGTGAAGGGCAAACATCTCTCCCTCCCCATATTATCGATGGAAGTGACGAAGACACCGGCGAGGAGCCCGTGGACGTTACTGTCGGACAGGAGTGAATTGCAAGGGTCGAAATGGCGAGGCAAGCCGTTGAGATCATAGGCCACCACTTGAAAGGAACAGACAGAAATCTCAAAGCTCTTGAAGAGTACTCCCTTGAGGAAGTGGAGAGCGTCCGGAAGGAGTTGGAGGCACGCCAGCGAGCCGAGTACGAGACAAAGGAGGCCATTACTTCCTTAGAGTTCCGGCTTAGGGAAGCACTTGGCGCAGTTGAGTCGCTTAAGGCCGAAGTGGCAGCACTCAAGGAAGAGAGAGAGGTTGTTGGATCCTCATCACATTACCGGGAAAGGGAAGCCAGAGTTGAGGCGCCCAAGCCACCTGTCTTCAAAGGCGTCCGTGACGCGTAAGAGGTGGATAATTTCCTATGGCACTTGGAAAATTATTTCAAGTGTATGCGGGTTCGTAGTGATGTGAACAAGATCAACACTGTTGTTTTGTATCTTTCGGAGTTGGCCATACTATGGTGGAAGCGTAAAGAGTCTGACATCGCAAAGGGGACATGCACGTTGAACACATGGGAGCAGTTTCGTGTGGAGTTCAAGAAGGCGTTCTTCCCGAGCAACGTTTTCAATGAGGCAAAGCACAAGATGAGGGAGTTGAGACAAAAGGGCAGCATACGCGCGTATGTGCGGGAGTTTACCACCCTTACATTTCAGATTCCCAACCTCAGGGACGATGACACGTTGTTCTACTTCATGGATTGGCTGCATAACTGGGCCAGAACGGAGTTTGAACGGCGGCAGGTCAGGACTATTGACGACGCCATTATGCAGGCCGAAGCCTTGACAGACTTCAGGCAGGAGAAGTTTCTCAGTGCCGAGGTGGACGACGAGGTAGGAAGTCATGATGATAGTGGGGAAGACAGTGGCGAAGGCGAGGAGCAAACGCCACAACCCAAAAGGCGTGACACCTATGGTTCCAGCGGCAAGAAGACCGGAGATCGTGGCAACACGGTAAGGGATTCCAAGGATGGTTGCTTCATATGCAAAAGGGCCGCATGGTTACAAAAGATGCCCTGAACTGAAGAGTCTTGGTGTTGTCCTTCGTGAGCAAAAGGAAGAGAAAGCCCAAGAGGAAGTCGGGGAGACCAAGCAGTTGGGCGTAGTAAGCCTATGCGGAGCTGCAATTGAACAACCATCAACGAGGCCAAGGCAAGCGGAGCCGAAGCATGCTGAGAAGGGACTTGCGAAGTCCATGGCGTGGGCTCAAACAGTCGATATCACGATCAATGGGAAGATTGCTCGTGCGTTGGTCGACACTGGTGCGGAGGTCAATGTTAAGACCAAGACGACAGCAACGAGGTTGGGGTTGCGATATACTTCAAGCAATGCCCAAATCAGAACTTTCAACGCATCACCGACTCCCATAGTTGGAGTAGCGCACGGCGTGAACATCACGGTAGGCGATTGGCAAGGGAAAACCAAATTCATCATCGCCCCCATCAATATGTTTGATGTTATTCTTGGGCAGAAGTTCTTCCAGCAGTGCCATGCAGTAATCGATCCTCATCTCCAAAAATTGACAATCATGGAGAAGGGAAGGGAATATACAGTTCACATGGTGAAGGCACAAGCGACGGAGGGACAGGCTAGACTGACAGCCATGAAGCTCAAGAGAGTCGACGTGAGAAGAAGGTTAACACCGGCAGCAACCATTGCAAGTTCGAGAGACAGTGGTGCTGGAAATACCTTGCTACCGCGCAGAAAGAGGATTCCGAGTAGGAACGCTGACGTGATGAAGAAGACGACGGAGCACTTTCCTCCGCTGAAGGAGGAAGTTCGAAAGATCAGGTCGAGAAAGGTCAGAACATCGATGAAGAGGCTGCTCGAAGGGATTGATGGAGTACGCGAGTTGATGGTCGCCCGGCAGAACTCAATGCAGATACAGTCGTAGTGTGACGCGGTCGTCGCATCATCGGGTGGGGGAGATTGTGACGTCCCGCCATCCATCCAGGCAAAACGCCACCCAACAAGGCAGCCAGCAGCAGGCGCAAGGGGTCAGACAGCCCAAACCGTCCAGCAGGCGAAGGGGCAGGCGCTCAAGCAGACAGCAGAGGAAGGGACAGACGTTTCAGCCGTTACTAGTAGTTTCAGCAGTTACAGCTATTTCATAAGTTATGGCCGTTTCAGCAGTTACAGCATGTGGGAGGCGGCAGGTTCCAGCCTTGGAGAGGCTTATGCAGGGCCTCTGGAACGTGGGGCAGACTAGGAGCAGCTAGGAGTCCCTTTTTGGAAGACTTAGAAGCATGTCTTGTGGGCATGGACTTAGGGGCTTGTATAGTGTAGCATTTATTTACTCTTAGTGTTTAGAGTAGTATAAATAGGTAGTCATTGTATTTGTAATACATCCACCAACATATCAATACAAGTCTTTCTTCCAAAAATAGTCTTTTGTCTTTACTTCAATTTCTCTTAGCGATCCAAAGTAGTGAAAGGCTTACTTGAGTCTACGAGATCGTGCAAGAATCGTGAGTAGACCGTCAAGTGCCGCACGGAGTCTTGTCCAAATCGAAAAGGCCGTGACACAAGGTTGTTATTCAGCAGCAACAGCCTCAAACAGGTATGGTTTCTATCCCTACTAAAAATACATATATTGATTTAGAAGTGCAGGAATTTACAACTTCTGGAGGTGGAATGGAGGAACATACAGAGCATATACATGATCAAAGACCTCAAAATAGTGCTATGTTAAACAGACAGGTTCCAAGACATGTCTATACTGAAGGAAGCAATGTGAATAGAGAGCAAAGAAATAAGCATCAAACGCTGGAAGTACAGATCAATATGAATAAACAGATTGGCTATCAACAGGATGCAGTAAATAGATCAGGTATTGACTCAATGCTCCCCCTCCCTGCAATCCTTTATACTGATAATGCATCTGTTGGAGTAGCTGTTGGAGGTGAGGTTGGATGTGGTCAGGAGAAAAATAGATTTAATCAATCTAGAAGTTCCAAAGGAAAGGATAAAATTGATGAACATGGGTTTTTTTATCAATGTTGATAAGGAACCTCCTGATAAAGTCAATTTAAATAATCCTCAGCTAGAGAAGTAATCAAAATTCTAATAAAACCAATTTAATACTGGTAAAGACCCTATTGATCATCAAAGAGATGATAATTTTGATGAGTATAGAGCACCTGATTCTGAAGATGAGTATGATATGGATACTCAATCTTTAGGGGAAGGTATTGAACCAGGGGAGGAAATAAATACCTTTGATCAACATCAAAAAGGTCCTTTGATTCATTCTTCTAATGTTGATGAAATTATAGATGTTACTGGCAAACAAGGTCTTTCACCAAGGGGAAGGAAGCTGATGAAACAAAATAAAAATGCTAGTACTAGTACGCCAAATACTAGAGCTAGGAGTAGAGGTTTATAATGATCAAAATGATTTGTTGGAATTCTAGGAGCATTAATACTTTTGGTGATCTGGAAAGGCTTATTAATCTTAGAAAATTTCATAATTTGTCTATGATTGCTATTTTAGAACCTTTTGCTAACCATTCTCAGTTAGATTCTTATAGATTGCAGATGTTGATGAATAATGGTCATAGTAATCCTAATAACAAAATCTGGTTATTTTGGTCAAATGAGGTGAATTGTAATATTCTGGAAAGTGATCAACAACATATTACTTGTGAAGTAAGTCATGAGGAGTGCAGTGAGAAGTTCTTTATGACCTATGTCTATGCAAAGTGTAAGGATCAGTTGAGGAGACCTCTTTGGGATAGCATGTTAAAATGGTCTGAAACTGTATATCCTTGGTGTATAATTGGTAATTTAAATGTGATTTCTTCTACTCAAGAAAAGTTGGGAGGTAGAGAATACAATATTAATAAAAGTTTAAAGTTCATTAGCATTATAGAATCTTGTGGATTGCTGGATATGGGTTATAGTGGTCAATCTTATACTTGGTGTAATCATAGAAAGGGTGGAGCTAGAATTTGAAAGAGGTTAGATAGAGGTATGGTAAATGATAAGTGGCTGGAAAGAATGCCTCAAACTAACATTACTCATCTCCCATCTGTAGGGTCTGATCATTGTCCTTTGTTGATGGAAATGAATGAGAATAAGGAAAATGCGATTAAGTATTTTAAATTTCTCAACTGTTGGACTGAAAATGAATCATTCTTACATATAGTTGAAAATTGTTGGAAAAAGAAAGTTGCAGGCAATCCTATGTGGATATTCCATACTAAGATGAGGAGATTAACTAAAACATTAAGAGATTGGTCAAAAAAGGAATATGGTGATGTTTTTGAAAAAGTGAAGCAGTATGAAGAGGGTGTTAAAATTGCTGAAGGAAACTTTATCATGGATAATAGTAAGGACAACAGAGAGAAGCTTTATGCTGCTAATGCTCATTACAGTAAGTATTTGAAGTTAAAGTATGCAATCCTTCAATAAAAAACTCAATTGCATTGGTTAAAAGAAGGTGATACCAATTCTAAATACTTTCATGCAGTAATTAGAGGAAGAAGGAAAAGAATGTTTATTCACAAAATATTGAATGGCAATGGTGGATGGATTTAAGGGGATGAAAATATTGCTAGAGAAACCTGTGACTATTATCAGGGTATTTTCACTGGTAAAACAGAGAAAATAAGGGAGGATTTGTTACAATGTATTCCTAAGTTGATTACTCAGGAACATAATGTAGAACTTGAAAAAATGCCTAGCGAGGAAGAAGTGAGAAGGGTTGTGATGAATATGAATCCTAATTCTGCTCCAGGACCAGATGGTATTGGAGGCAAATTTTATCAAGTTTGCTTTGATATTATTAAAGATGATCTTCTAGCTGCAGTACAATCTTTTTTTAATGGTTATGATATGCCTAAATACATGACTCATGCTTGTCTCATTCTTCTTCCTAAAGTTGATCATCCTAACAAGTTAAAGGATTTTAGACCTATTAGTCTTAGTAATTTTACTAATAAGATTATATCTAAAATCATGAGTACTAGATTGACTCCTATTTTACCTACCATTGTTTCAGACAACCAATCTGATTTTGTAAAAGGAATGAGTATATCAGAGAATATCATGTTGGCTCAAGAAGTTATTCATGGTATAAAATTACCTAAAGAAGGTAAGAATGTGGTTATCAAGCTGGACATGGTTAAGGCTTATGACAGAGTATCTTGGACTTATACATGTTTAGTCTTAAGAAAAATGGGTTTTGAGAATTGTTTATTGATAGAGTCTGGAGAATTATGAATAATAACAGGTATTCAGTTGTGATCAATGGTAAAAGATATGGTTTCTTTCACTCTACTAGAGGTCTAAAACAAGGGGATCCATTGTCTCCTGCACTTTTTATTTTAGGTGCTGAAGTTTTCTCAAGATAGCTCAACATGTTATATCATAACCAGGCTTATAGAGGTTTTCACATGGACAATAGAGGGCCTCAAATCAATCACTTAAGTTTTGCTGATGATATTATTATTTTTACTTCTACTCATAGAAACTCATTACAGCTCATTATGAAGACTATTGATGAATAGGAACTTGTTTCTGATCAGAAAGTGAATAAAGATAAGAGTTTTTTCATGGTAACTGATAAGACTAAGCAAGATATTATTGATATTATCAAGATAGAAACTGGTTTTGGCATGAAAAACAGTTCTATTACTTATCTTGGATGTCCTTTATATATTGGGGGTCAAAGAATTATTTACTATTCTGAGGTAGTGGAGAAGATTATCAAAAAGATTTCTGGATGGCAAACTAAGGTTTTAAATTTTGGAGGTAAAGTTACTCTTGTTAAACATGTGCTGCATTCTATGCATATCCACATTTTAGAAGCTGTATCTCCTCCTAAAACTACTCTCAATTATATCGAAAGAGTTTTGTTGATTTCTTCTGGGGTATTGATAAAGATGGGAAAAAGTATCATTGGGCTTCATGGGAAACACTGGCTTATCCAACTAGTGAAAGTGGTATTGGAGTAAGGCTGCTTGATGATGTTTGTATAGCATTTCAATATAAACAGTGGTGGGAATTTAGAACTAAGAATTCCTTGTGGAGTAAATTTCTAAAAGCCAAGTACTGTCAAAGAGCTAATCTAGTGGCTAAGAAATATGATTCAGGGGATTCTTTGGTTTGGAGGTATCTTACTAGAAATAGACAGGCTGTGAAATCTCATATTAAATGGAAAATTCATTCAGGCACTTGCAGCTTCTGGTGGGATAACTGGTTTGGGAATGGTGCAATAGCCAATCATTGTGACAGCATTTTCAGCCTAAATAATAGTCTAGTGTCTGATTTTCTAAATAATGGCATTTGGAAAGAAAGGTTTGTTAGACAAAATGTGCCTCCTTTGGTGGTGCCTGATATTCTTCAAACAAACTTCATTTATAATATAGATATTGATGATACTGCTGTTTGGACACCTGAGGAGAATGGAAAATTCACTATTGCATCTGCATGGGAGGTTATTAGAAAGAAAAGACTTAAGGATCTTATTAACATTGTTTGGCATAAGCATATTCCTTTCAAAATAGCCTTCTTTATTTGGAGTGCTTTGAGGGGCAAGTTACCAACAAATGAAAACTTGCAGAAATTTGGAAGAGCTGAGGCTGAATGTTATTGTTGTTATAGGAAAGGCAAAAATGACATCAAACATATATTACTCACTGGCAATTTTACCATATATATTATTTCGTAATGGTGGAGTGTGTTTTTCTTTACCATGTGAGATTTCCATGAGTCACATGTCTACCATAAACTAGTTCTAGTGGATTGCGAGAATTGACAGGTTTTAGTGTATCGCAGCTTGTGTATCTTGTCCTCTTCCTTTTTCTATAAGAGCCTCCTATGAAATTTAGTTTTGTCTAAGTTCATGACTTCGTTTTATTTCAAGTTTTTTCTGTCATGCTTACATGTTGATTACCTTGTTTGCTACCTGCAATATTGTGACAACATAGATGCGTCGTTTTGCTTTTGTCTATTTAAATTCATAAGGTAGTATACATCGCTAGTTTCTCTTTCTATTTTTTTCTTTTACTCTTGTTTGCCTTCACTGTCAAATTGTCATACAGAGGCATTATATTTAATCCAACATGTCCAATTTGCTAAGCAAGTGACCCTTTATTTGTAAAAATATTTTGTCCACCATTTGCTAATTCATTCAACTCCAAATTGTTGGGTTTACTTTGCTCGGAATATGTTTAATTGGTTTCGCTTGGTCACTATATATATATATATTCTTTTTTTTAAAAATGATGAAATTTGCTTTCATTTGGAATTGCGGTTTAAGATGATATATTTGAGTACTAATCCTCATCTGTTTTTTTTCATTTTTATGTGAATCCGTTGCGAGTCTTCATGGACTTCTTTATTTCCCCGCATTCCTAGTTGAGCCATAAAGCTCCATTTTGTTGTTCGGACCAGTAGTTTGTAGGAATTAATAATAAGCAAAGTGAAGGCAATATAAGGCTGGGAGCTGCATTTTTCTAACTCTTAATGACCCAAGGGAAAGAGGATATGCCAGTTGTATAAATTATGTATACACTGGTATACCTCGTGAAATATCGATATACAGTTCAAATGCGTAAAGGAAGGTCTATGAAAGCGGAATCATAAAATTCAAACAAAAATACAGGTTTCGGAAAGTCCAAAATGGGCTGGATGCAGATCATATACAGCAGTATACACTGGTATACAATGTATACACGATACACAAGTCAAAAGAAAATATACAGGTGCTTGATGAGCTGAAATAGGATATGTATTTCGAGGACTCATTAGCAACAATTTCAATATTTAGTAAAAATGTCATTTTAGTTTGTTATGTATCTTATTTATGTTTTTATTATTTATTTTTATTTAAAGAATATAATTATTTAATAACAAAAGGAGAAAATTAAGGGGGGAATATTTCAAAAAAAGGCAAGCATCCTTAATTTTCTAATCAGTTACATTTTCAAATAAAATTTAAATTTTGTTTTTTTTTCTCCAGAATTTTTACATTTTTAAAATTATATTCATTCCACAATATATTCTATTTATATTTATTATAGTTTTTTATTAATTTGTATTCATTCCAATAAGTATGCCGAATTTATCTATATAGTCA